CTAATTGCCAAACAAGACCAAAATGGAAAGTAACTTGAATTATATTTTTGAAAAGCTATATTGAGATGCTGCAACATGCAACGTTTTTTAAATTAGTTTTTTTCGATCTTTTAAATTAGCTTTTTCATCCAAAAAGCTAATGAAACAGCTATTTTACCAAACATCATATTTAGCTGTTAGATGTGGTCAAACAGTTAAAGTACACCCAAAAAGCTGCCATGTTTGTTAAATGGCGTTTCAGCCACAAATTAACTTTTTGAGCAAAATAGTTAGGGTTGTCAGAAAAACCCACCGGGTCGGGTTACCCGCGGGTAACCCGAAAAATCGGGTCGGGTATACCCGATGAGAGCGGGTTTTGGGTCGGGTTTGGGTTTTTCTTTTGTACCCGGAGACCGGGTCGGGTCGGGTACAGGTTTACCAAAAAAACCCATTACCCGACCCGTTTACCCGACCCGTTTACCCGGTGGGTTTTTTCTACCCGACCCGATTTTTTACCCGCACACTTAATTACTATAGATACAAATAAATATACAAAAAATATATGTTCCAAAAAAAATAATTTAGTAACTAAAATATTTTAAAATTTTTATATATATTGAAAAATGAATATGGAGTATATTCATATAATTTGGACATAATATTTTGTTACTTCTTCTATTTTTATAAGTATGACCATCACATATATAAATATGATCAATTTATATTTTTTATATAAAAAAAGAATAACTCTAATTATTATAAATGACATATATATAATAAATAATAATAAACAAGATAATAAGTTTATACGGGTGTAGTTTGTTTTATATATTTACATCTTTACAAATATTTAAAATATGAGTAACTATGTATTATCCAAGTAAAATTCTATGTATAAATCTATGAAGTTGTGTCTTTACCAAATACCAAGTGTTAGATATATCTCGCTATATGATTTCAAATAAACATTATATTGTCAATTTGAATTTCAAATTACATCATATTACTCAACAAAAACAAAAATTAATTTTAGTGTTATATTTCATAATCATGTTTTACAATTTATTTTGCATTTCAATATAATTTCTTTATTATGTATGAAGAGCAAGTAGAACATAATTATGAATTGTAATTTAATTGGAATATAGGAGAATTCTATATGTTGAATTTATCAATTATCTATGCCCATAATTTGTTTTTTTAATTTACCAATAGTTCTAAGTAGTATTATTTTACATATCGTGATCTCTCTATTTCAAACTATGAGTAATTAAGCATTATCCAAATAAAATGCTATGCATATATCTATAACGTATTACCGTTATTTCTTTAGAGTATGATCATCGGCAATTCGTAAAACGTCAAAATAGTGTATAATATGCGACAAAACTAATAACATACTTTTTTTTTTAAAATCTATACATCTGTTTATTTTTTTACCAATTGTTTGATATCTCTCATTATTTCATTTCAAATAAATATTATATTGTCAATTTGAATTTAAAGGTACATCTTATTGCATATTTTTTAACAAACACAAAAATTAATTTCAGTAGTATGTTTTATAATCAATGTTTATAATTTATTATACATTTCAATATGATTTCTTTATCCTAGATGAATAGCAAGTAGAACGTAATTATGAATCACAATTTTATTGAAATTTAATACGATATTATATTGAATTTACCAATTACATATGCCCATAATTTGTTTATTTAATTTACCAATACTTATAAGTAATATTATTTATGTATCATGATCTCTCTAGCTTAAAATTTGTGTATTCCCTTATCTTTAAGATCAAGTTAAGAATTTCAAATATTTGTTATGAAAGTAATTCTTAAATCAACAAAAAATATAAAAGAAAGTGTACAAATAGTTTGGTATATAGATTGCGATTTTTAACTTGATATGTTTT